GTCAATTAAGGTTCCTCACAATTAATCCTTGATTGAAGTGCACACAGTCAATATAAACTCTGTTACACTCTAACTATATCAAAGAGGGGTTCTGCCACTCAATCCCATCCTCAGACAAATGTTCTTGCTCTTGGCAGGAAAATTGCTTGGCACAAACTGGTACTGGTGGGCAACAAATCAGACTCCCGTGAGTCATCTTTCAGTAGCATTTTGCAGGTAATGAGTTAGTGCTGCCTGCTTAGCACAAAGGCGGTTGCAGAGGAAAAAGTGGAGGTTAATCCCTTTGCCAGTGACAGAGTATGTAATATATAAGCAACCATGCAGTTTACCTTTCGCTAAGAAAATTATTTGTTTAAGCTTTCAAGGAAAGCAGGCAAGAGAAAATAGAACAGGAGGAAGAGTCTAAGAATTAATGATAGGCATTAGGTAATATTTAAACAGCAGATGAGATCTGTACAAGTGTGGTTACATCCCAGCAGTGGACAGGAACCTCTGCTTAGTTTCTTTTCCTGAGTAGTGCTGAATCGAATCATATCATCAAACTGAAGTCAAATTAGCTGGCATATTTCACTTATCTGCTTAAAGCTGCATCAACCTTTACCCTTGCCATAGTGGAGTGTCAGCAGCACAGCAGTAGCTGCTGGAAGCTGAAGTTTTACTACAGTTGCCACCGGAATATTGCTAATAGAGAACAAAGCCATTTCCTTCAAAAGTAAGGTTGAGATTAATGCTTCAGGCTGGAGGATTAAGGAAGCTTTACTTGTAACAGTGAGAGAGATCCCTGGAGGGAAGCTGACAGAGAAGAGAAAACCAGAAAATTAGAGTGCCTTAAGAAAAATAATGATAATCAATAAAATAAAATAAAACCTAACAAAACACAACCAACCAAACAGAAAACCCCAGCCAAACAAAGAAAACCTATCCAAGGCTATCATCACACTCTCTCAGCATGGCTGTACCCTGCTGCACTTTCCTGAAATGACCTTGCTTTTTGGTCCTGACAATAGAGTCAAGTTTCCTGCTCGGATGCGCAGACCTGCAAGGATCAACAAGAACTGCCGACTCTGTGGTCTGCAGAAACAGGAAAAGAGAGGGAGAAAAACAAACAGCTTCTGAGTTAACATAAGAGCTGTCAACACCAGGCAGCCTTGGGAAGATGAGAAGATAAACTCCAGTGATGAAACAGTACCAGAGATTTATTTAAGATCTTACAGGGAGGCACAGAAACAGCTTGAAAATGATTCAGCACAAATAACTGAGTTCAGAGAAAAAACAGCTAGTTTCCTTTTTCTCCCACTTTTGATTTCATTTCTTCAGATTTTGATTTCCTTTCAACAAGCCTGCCTGCTAGTGTTATGTATACTGAGAATATGTCACGTGTTGGCTTTCAATGACATGTTCCTGGTAAAACCACATCACCCAACCACATCACCCAGACACCGGTGAAGCTTGGGCACATTATCTCAACATGGTTCTCTCTTCTCAGATGTTCAATTGCAATAACTGTGAATGGTGTTAAATAGAAAAAACCTGGAAGGCTGCTCCAAGTGGGCGGTGCTCCTTGGGCTTCTGCTCTGCTCCCTGCCATGGCTGTGCCCACCTGGGGACCTGTGGTCTTGCTCGGTGCAGCCATGGCAAGAAAGAGGTTTTGTGGCTGCTCCGGCAGAGCACCTTCCCAGGGGGCTATGCTTCCCACAGACACACCACTTTATTTAGGGGAATTGAAACAAGAAAACGACAGAGCTCACTGGTGTCTTGAAACCACAGTGGACTTATTTTCGCTTTACCCCCATTGCGCAATCCTGTAATTGGCAGCAGCCCCGCGGTGTGCTGCTCCTGCCGTAACGGGCTGTGATTACAATACCAGTAAGTCCCTCACAAACCGGTAAAACCCTGCAGGGATGTGGGCCAGATCTGGAGATGGAGTAAGTTCCCCTCTCAACAGTGGTGGGTCTCCCTGCATTGCACCAGTGCACTCAGACACATGGCTCTGCCTGCAGCAACCCAGGAGCTGAGTACTTCGGGTACTCTGGCTCACAGGCAGATCTATTAACCCATTTTGTACACTAAAGTTTCATCTCTCCCTTTGTCCCCACACCCTTTCTCCCACTTCCTTTCCCCCCTCCCCTTCTTCCCCTTAAGGGCTGTTATTACCCTTAGCACTATTTTAAAATAAAACAAAGAGAATAACTGATGCCTGTGACTTCACTATCCCATCAGCTGCCCCGACAGGAAAGAATCTCCTCTCCCACGTATGCCCAAAAGAAGGGTCCATCTCTTTGTGTGACTGTAGGAATACAGAGAGAAATTGCCTCTAAAACTCATCTGCCTTCAGGGTGAGGAAGTGTTCCTGAGCAGCACAGGATCGAGGTTAATTTGGTTTTGGCTTCACTGAAGGAAGAGTCATCTAAATAATTTGCCCAAATATTTGATCTGTCTCCAAATTCACAAAGAAGAAAAAGCTGCAGGTCATACCTGGCTCTGTCTAAACAAGCAAAACGAATGAGCAAAGTAACACAGGTGCCAGCAGTGCAAAGGACCAGTGTATCCCCATGGCTTGACTTTGTGGCACCTTCCATGCATTGGGGACTTCCGAGCACTGAGAGAAGAAGGGGCACGTGGGGTCTTGGTAAGGGCCCTGGCCCCATGTGCTGACATTCTAGAGGGGCTGCTGTGATTTGTGGAGCAGCCGTCAGGCTGTGGCTGTGAGATGCAGCCCTGAGCATCATGTGCTGCAGACACACACTTCTACCACAAGGGACGACACGTCATGCAGACGTGCTCCTGAACTGTATACCTGCCTTCCCATCATCTAAAACCCAACAAATATTTTTGGAAGAAACAACTTCCTATGTAACAGGAATGATGTGGCTCTGCCTGAATGAGGCTGGGTTACTAACAGGGGTGTTCATGCAGCTGAAAAGAGACCCTGAACACATTAAGTCAAGCCGATACGCCTACATGCCATTTAGGTTGAATACCAGATGAGAGGTGAAGGCAATACATTCTCAAAAACATCAGAAATTCCTCTGTGGCCAACCTAAGATGCCCTGACACCAGACAGAGTGCATCGAGTGATGCTGACAGTGCCCAGCTACTGTCTTGGGAGTGCCCTTGCAAAAGCCTCATCCAGCTGTATCCTTCTTTTAGACATCTCACCCTGAAAACTGCCCTGTGAGCTGGCATCACTGCCTCTTCCACATGCCAGCCATGCAGCTGCCTTCTGCCAGGTACCAACAGGGCTGAGGTTTCCTACACAGGGAGAGAAATCAGCCATGTTTCAGATGTGCCATCATTTCTGGGAAATAGGTAGGGGAAAGGGTATCTGAACTGAGCTGGTGAATGATTCCCCTTCTAATGGACTTCAAAGTCATCAGTATTTCTAGACACTTAACTTGAGAGGCTCTGTCCCATAGAAAGGAGATTCTCAACATCCCCTTGTGGGTCTGTATTACACTGTGCCATTTTTTCCTTTGTGAAGTTGTACTTTGATGGGAGAGGTAAGTTTACTGACTTGCAGCCACAAATCAGTCCTTTGTTATGTCTGACTCATCTGTGTTTTCTTTACCTCAAGCTATTTTCATTTTCCCCTAAAAACAGAAGTCCATCCTGTAAGTCAGTGCACCAGATATCAACTCTCGTGGAGACAGGAGGCCAATGAGTGATCCATATATCACCGGTAGCTCTCCCAACATTGTGCAACAATCACAAAGACACGAGGGTGACTTTGTTTCAGCTCTTGTTTCTTGCACAAAGCACCATCTAAAATTATAGCAAGCACAGGCAAGTGTGCCCTGGCATGTGTCAGCCAGCACCATGCAGGGTAGAGCAGTGGTAGGGTGGCCCTTAATTGCAAGTAGCAGAGGAATATGGGCTAGTTTGTTTCTCTCTGTTTAGTTTGAGGGCAAGGTCACCATCACCAAAGTTTAGACAACTGGAATTGCTCAGCCTGGAGAAAAGAAGGCTCTGGGGAGACTTTATTGCAACCTTTCAGCACTTGGAGGGGGCTTAGAAGAAAGACAGGCCTTTTGCAATAGAACAAAGGTTTTAAAACGGGTTTTAAACTGAAGGACCGTTTAGTTTAGAGTAGCTATAAGGAAGAAGTTTTTTACAATGAGTGCGGTAAAACACTGTCACTGATTGCCAAGAGAGGTGATCGAAGTCCCGTCCCTGGAAACATCCAAGGTCAGGTCTGATGGGGCTCAGAGTAACCTGACCTAGTTGAGATCTTCCTGTCCTTGGAAGGGAGGTTGGACTAGCTGACTTTTAAAAGGTCCCTTCCAACTCAAACTATTCTATGATTCTATGATAATAACAGACGACATCTCTTGCTTCTACTTATCAAAGCACACTCCATCCTTCCACCTTTTTCTTCATAATGGTCACAACCCTGTCCAGCTCTCCTGGACCACCACCACAAGCACAGCCCACCCTCCCATCTCTCTTTCCCCAGCACAAGCCTACCCCACCCCTCTGCCTCTTCTTGCCGGATGATGCAAAACCCACCACTCCACCTCCCTTGGCCACCCACGCCTCCATTCCCTCTTCACTAAGCACACTCCATCCCTCCATCCTGTCTCCCCCACGCACGCCCCATCCTCCCATCTCCTTCCGTCCGGCACACCGCATCCCGCCGGGCTTTTTGTGACCGGGAGCGGAGGCGTTGTCCCTGCCCGGTCCCGCTCCGCCCGGGCACGCCGCCTCCTGCCCGCCCGGCGCGGGGGGGCGGGATTCCCGCGCGTTTTCCACACGTCAGGACTCGGGGAAACCCCCGGCGAGCCGCGCTGTAAGCACCGCGCTCCGCCCCTGTGCCCGCAGTCCGCTGCCGCCGTCGAGCCGTGAGGACCTGGGACGTAACTGCTCCGCACCGAGCCCAGCCGAGCCGAACTTGGGCGGTCAGTGTCCTGCCGAGCCGAGCCCGGACAGCCCGTGCCGAGCCGAGCCTGAAGAGTCCGTGCCCCGCCGAGCCGAGCCCGGACGGTCCGAGCCCCGCTGCCGCGATGCTGCCTGGCAAGACCCTGCGCAAAGCCACGCCACCAGCCTCTCCTGCAGGTACCGGAGTGTGAAGCGAGAGGGTGGGGGGAACAGGATGGGACTGGACAGGACGGGAACACACGGTACTGCTGCTCGCCCGACTCCAGCACCGGAGCGACTGCGGTCGCTCGTGTGGAGGCGAGGGCGGTACAGCCACTGCTCTCAGTGTGTGTGTGGGGGGGGGGAGGGGGGGTAGGGGAGATGTGTTTCATATTGAAAAAAGAAGTAAAAAATTGAACAAACTTGTGGGGATTTCTTTAAAACGGAAACCACGCTTGGTGTCTGACGGCCGCGTGTGTCCGCAGGGCGGGAGGCGGCGGTGGCCGAGTGCGCCCGGGAGCTGATCCGCATCGGCGACAGGTGGGACCTGCGGCAGAGGATCCTGAACCTGCTCAGCAAGCTGTTCTGCCCGGAGATTTGGTCTGCCCGCGAACATGGCGCGCAGAACGGCAGGGGATGATGACCTTGGCTTTATGGTTTGGAACAAGAGACTTCACAGACACCGGGAGATGAAGAAACCTTGGAAATTTAGTTGCATTGTGTTTAGCTGCCTGTAGCCGTCTAAGGATGGCTATCACATGATTTCTCTGAAGAATGTTACAGCAATATTTGCGTGTGAATGCCAGGTGGGAAAAAAAATAGCGATGGGCAGAGCCCCTCACCTTGCAGTGGTGAACTGGGGGGAGATGGTGACGTGGGGAGACTTGGGGCAACTTGCCTTTCACCGTGGTCTGAGGAGCCTTCCAGGAACCTGGTTTCCCAAGTCGCCCTCTGGTCCTCATGTCCCACAGCCATGTTTCACCAAGGAGCTCAGACCACCTCAGGATGAAACCAAAAAAAGTGGCAGTGTCTTGGAACTTGGGATCATGAATTCCACAGCAAAAGCCAGTTGCTGGGTTTTTGACTGCTGTCCTTTTCTAAAGCCTGGATCCTGCTGGACAGGGATCTGGTGATGGGATTATATAATTCATTCAAGAAAACCACTATCTTTGTTGAATGGTTTTTTGTCACAGGATTTTGCTTTGCAGACTAAGAGTTAAAGTTCTATGAATTAACACAATGTTGCATAGCTCTAGCCTATATTATAAATATATAATATGTATACATAAAATACAAATATCTGCACCACAAGTGTATGAAACAGGTATTTCACGGAGCTATTAATTGAATGGTGTTTGGGCTCAAACATAGTTTGAAAAAATGTTCAATACGTTTTAAAAAATCGGTATAAAAATACATTACATAAACTAAAAAGAAGTTTGACAATAAAGGAAATAAATCACATTAGCATCACATAAGATATATCTGAATATATATTACAAAAATACAGGTATTGAGGTAATTGTGGTGGAAGAATTCTTTCAATATTACAAAGAATTTCTTGACAACAGTACAATTCTGCTGTGTCTTTATAAGTAATGAAACAACTTCAATAGAAGTAGATCTTAAAGTCTAATCTCAAGTTTTCTTGAGAATGTTATTTATTCAAAGAAAGTAACTACCTCTCTTTGAAGAAATAATATCAATATAATTGAATGTTACAGACAGCACAGTAACCCTAGATTTTTGAATGTTTAATTATATATACTTATAAGCGAAAGTTCTTCCTGTGTACTTTATTTCCATTTCATTTCATGGCAACCTCATTTCAGTTCCAGAATGGAACATCCAGTGGATAGTGATGCACTGTGCCTATCTCACTGAGGTGTTATTACCCTTGGCTGGCTTCAGAGGAGCTGAATTAAACCTGCTGATCGCTGTCAAGGCAAACAATAACTGTGCCAGTCCATTCTTGTCAAACTCAATCCTAAACAGTACTTTTTTCATGGGTTTTCATGGCTGAAGTGATCCTGTTTCATAGCCACCTCTAAGGTCAATGGTCAGAGTTCCTTCCCTTAACTAACCTTGTATGTGAGTACATATGCATTTTATTAGGCTGTATAATTGCACTTTCTGATATTTGTGTCTATTCGAAGTATTTTCCTGCCTTGTAGTGAATTTTTGTTTGTGTTTATAATTTATTCTTCGGTTAGCTCTTCTGAATCTGCCTTTCCAAAGTTGTCATTACATATCTCTGGTCACTCTCACAAAAAACCCTGTGTGCTATGTATTGACACTGATTTCTGTCACTGAGCAGAAGCTGACTGACTTTGACTACTTTCCACATGGAAAATTGAACCCCGTCCCAGTGGTGTTACCGGGAGCCTTGCTGTTGGCTTGAGCCACATGCATGGTTCCCTCCTCCTCTAAGCTAGCTAACACCTTTTGAGTGAGAACAGAATGTTTCAGGAATAGTTGTTTTTTATCTTAGTACTGCAAAGTAGTGTGTTTTGCGTACACGTACCCAGGTCAGTTTTTCAGGTACTAAAAAGAAAATGCAAAGAGTTTCAGTTCAGCTGAACACCAGTTCCCAGGCTAGCACTGCACGCAGCTTGGCAAACTGTTCATCAAAGGCAGCTCCAACTCCAAGAAATAAGGTTGCTGTTGTATGTCTTACACTTGGTGGAGTCTTGGACTCTTCATCAAGGACACTAAACTATGACCATGCCTGCCTGGAACTCTCAGGAAAATTCAGCATTAGCATTTGTATTACTAGCTAAAATGTACTTGAATAAAAGTGTTCTCAATGTATGCTGCTTTGAAATTCAATAGGAAATTAGGTGTGGGTTTTATACAGCCAACCCATTCCTTCAGGCTCTAGCCTGAAAACTGTGAAATACTATGGAAAAAGAATATACTCATAAATGCATTGTCATGGGGATATCCAATTTAAGTATTGGCACATTCTTTTTCTGTCTAGATATGCAAAGACTATTTGCTTTTTTTTGAAACTTTTAAAATTTTTCTGAGCATGGTTAAGACTGCTATCATTCACCAGGAACTCAAGGAGACCTAGATCCAAGAGACCAGTGCCAGTATGTGACCAAGCACTTGTTGATGTCTGTCCTAGGTTCTTTTTGTTACTTCTGCAAAGGATCTGCTTTATGACTTTTATCAATATGAGTTTGTTTTTCTTAAAGCCTATTCTGGATGCGGGCCAGATGTGTTGCTGTATGCCTCATGCACGTATGTCTTGAATCCATGCTAAGATAATAAATACGAAGTGTTTACGAGAAAAATGAGTCACTGTTGTTACAACTCCGGTTTTCTTTTGTGTGTTTTGAATGCATGATTGTATTATGCAAATTCCTTCCATACTTCCACGTCAGCAGGCACACACTGGGGCAAAAGCAGAGTACCAGCAGGTATGCTTTAGGTAATTAGGCTTTGACTTCTGCCTTCAAGAGGAAAAAGGTGTACCCATAACCTTGAACTTCAAAGAGACACTTATTCTAATATTTTCTAGTAACTACTGCCTGCAGAATAGTTGGGTGGTGTCAGGGAGTCCATTACTTCTACCAGAGGTGCTGCAGCTTTGAAAAAGAGTGTCCCTGAGGATCAGTGAAGGATAGACATCCAAGTTAAGGGTTTTGTCTCAGATCCAGGCAGAAAGGCATTTTGTCAAAGTCAGATTTTTACTTTCTCCAAAGTTTGAAGCTGGAGCTTTGGAAGAGGGGGAAATAACACTGTTTACCACAAAGGAATAGCAAAGGGATAGTGCAGAGAAAATTCTTCGCTAAAGCTGGGACCCAAAGATGTGTCTGTGGACAGGAGAGCCTTAGATCCTCACCTGCTATGCCATGCACTGACTCGCCGTGCTGCTGCCCCCCAGCTTCACAGGCAGGGAACATCATAAAATAAAGAGAAGCAATTCCCTGTCCTTTCCCAGTTAGTCACCAGCAGAGGCCTGGAAATGCTTTACTTCGGGGGACATCAGTGAAGTGCTCTTGAGAAGGACCACTTGGTGAAAAGTGCTACCATAGGTACTGCACAGAGGTCTGGTTTTGCAAAGCTTCACCAGCAAATTAGACTCATATGACTCATTAGACTTGTGAAAATATCCAGACACCTTCACCTGCTGCCTGCTAGAGCCTGGGCCCTCTCCAGCCAAGTCACCTCCAGAGCACTGCTCCTCCCTAAAAGGCAGGGGGAAAAAATCCTATCATTGGGGCATGACATTGCCTTCTAAATGTACTTGACTCACCCATAAGCACCTGATATCAAAAAACCAAAACAAACCCACCTGTCCAAGCAAACTGATAGAATTGCTACCCTGTAATGCTTTTCATTAACTGGGCACAGCACTTGCCCAGGCAACAAGTGCAGCCCCACACTTACACTGTGCTTCCCTGGGTGAAAACCATCCCAGTGCCCTTGGCCAGCTCATGCCTTCACACCTGAGACTGAACGCACAAGTGGTATTTCCTAAACAAATTGCTAGACAAGGAGACACCTCCTTCTTCCCCTCATGGGATGTTTTTATAAATCAACTGAAAAACAATGTCTCCTGTGCTGCTCATTATTTTTAGCACCCGCTGCTGGATGGGACTATATTTTATCACTTTCCTCCCGTTGACACGAGAGGGTGTGCATCCATAGAGGCGTAAGGAGGCTGGACAGGAAGGGCTGGGGATGTGATGTGCTGACGTTCAGTCTGGCAGGGTTTTCCACGAAGCAGGTGACTGTCTGATGCTGGGGCTGTCAGTGAGCAATAGTTTAAAAAGCTGTTACAGCTGTAAACAAGGGTCCTCACCCAAGTGCGTCAGGACATTGTCTGGTCCGTGTAAGAAACGGGCCACACCAAGGCTGCCCTGCCTTCTCACGCATGGTCTCTTTGCAATGCAATTCTCACCACTCCGCAAACCCTCTCAAAGCATGGAGGCTGGTGTCACTCCTTCAGCAAGAGGAGATATCCCACGAAATGACAGGAACCACAAATAAAACTGCTCCAGCCATTTAACCTTACAGGGGCTTTGGTGTCATTCCCCTGTCCCCGTGAAAGGATGGTAGGAGCACCACTAGGCTCGGTTCCTCTGTGCCACTGTCACTGCTTGAAGGGACAAGTCACTTTCTGGAGTGGACAGGCCAGCTTTCAAATCTTGAGAAAAGCAGTTACTTTCAGCAGCACTGAATAAGGTCAATAATAAGATGCCAACACCTTCTCCCTCAGCTCCTGGATCCTAGCTGGGATCACAGTCCCCTACCACATGGGGGCAACTAAGGGCAGAATTCTGCTTGTACCTTCCGCTTCGTGCTCCTGAGAGGGATGTGACAAAAGCCGTGACAAAGGCAGGAGGTCACATCCATGTCCACCCTGCCCCAGATCAGTAATCAGGGAGGCAATTTTTGACAAAAGCAGCTGGACTTTCCCCAGCACCACCACAGCGTTGATAGCAAATGACTTTGATAGGTAGGGGAAAACGCAAGGAACTACAGCATCAGGTAACTTGTTTGCTCAGTGCAACAGTATCAGACTGATTCAGTTGCACAGTGAGGTGAGGCCAGCACATATGGGACTATTAGCAGAAAGTTCTAGTTTTAGTATTGACTAACTTCAGAAAATACCCTGGCTGCCAGAAAATATCCTTCTAGTCACAGCTTTACACACCATGGGATTGGAAGGGTAACTCCTTGTTTTAGGGAAGGATGTTTATTTGCATCGTGTTCTCTTTTTTTGATCATTTAAAGAGAAGGATTTCTTTAGAAGGAAAAAAGTTTATTATTTGTGCATTAATTTGTGAAGTCTTTTAGCCAAGTCAAGTGCTTTATAAACACAACTACATGGCAAGGCCAAGTCATGGCTGGCTTTTCCTGTAAACGGAGAGTCCGACACAGGCTTTTACTAAGGGTTGCTGGAGATGGTCCAGTTTCAGCCAAGGTCATGATGAGGAGAAACACTTTAACCTCCCTTGCAGGGAGGACCAGCCCTAGATAACCTGCAAGTAGATCACCTGCTCCCCAGGCATCTATTGACATGAGGCTGCTGGACACAGGGAGCAGGTGCTGCAAAAGTGTTTATGCAACATAGTATTGCATAGAAAAGAAAAAAAGAAGCACCAAACTGCCGGACCAAAAATCTCCCAGTGCAGGCCAAGGCAAGGGCATGGGTTTGGCTGTGCAGAGC